TTTTTAATTGTATTTTTAATTTCAAATTCTCAAGATTGTAATTAAAATTCGAAAATTTAATTTAATTCAAGTTTTTTAGTTAAAAAATGTGCAACCCTGATTGTATCTCTCAAATGCTATGTTGATAAAAATATTCTATAATATTTTTTTTTTTTGCTTTCTATATACTAATTGTGCTTAAGAATTTTAATATACGCGCTTTGTGCAGCCTCGCTTTTTCTACATCCACTTTGACGTATTCTCCGCACACTAAATGCTAAAAGCCATGTCACGCACCCCCACATTAAACATAACTGCCGTGTTTGTCTTTTATTATCCAAAATGCATCGATAATGGCACCATTTTTGTCGTCGGACACTTGCTCGAAATACAAGTGTGTGCGATTATGGGCCTTCATGCGCGTATAACCGTAGTCCTGCGAATGCGCAAAACAATAAAATGCAAACAAGTTCAATTTCATACACTACCCACCTGACTGTGAAAGGCGCTCCATTCAGGCGTATCTTTTTCGAATGGCTCACGTCCCTCTTTACAGCCGGCTGAACCCGTTATCAAATGTACGGGCGCGCATGGATTGCGATAAGGCTCGGCCAGCGAACCATTACACACTTTATAATCATAAATAGGCCAAGATCGTTCATAAGAATGCTCGTGCGCCCATATTTCTACATCGACACCCTGCTCATAGAAAAGTTCTTCCAGGCCGAACATGTGGAAAAAGGGCCAACCGACGCGCGTTAGTGTTTCTGCATGCGTGCAGTCGTCACCGTTACCATTGCTGCAGTACATTGGTCGGTGGCCATAGACAATTATCCAAGGGCGGCGCGCACGATTCTCTGGCCTATTGGCCTCTTGCAGATTATTCACCAACCATTCGTATTGAAAAACGAGTGTTTTTAGGCCGTAATTAAGAAAATAATACATTTCAGTGGAAATTCCAATAAAATGCACGGGCCCTAAATTAAAGCTGTAGAATAGATTCTCTGTGCTGCCCGGCATGCTGAAGCGTGCGCGATAGTTCGAGAAATTGCTGAAAGCATATATTTTTATAATATAATTTGTTTTCCTAACATCTTTGCTACTCACTACTTCTCTTCGTGATTGCCCGGCACCACCATGTATGGCACATAGGCCGCAATGGTTTCTACTTGACGCATAAACTCATCACCCACGCGTGCGTCATCGGTATTCATATCGTAAGCAAAATCACCGACGTGTATAATAGCATCATACATATTGCGCTGCGTGTCCTGCTGCAGACGCGCCAACGATTGCGCATTCTCATTACCCATATCACCGTACAGCGCAATAGTGGGTGACCAGTCGTCACCGGCGGGCACAGTGCGAAATTCGAAAAGCGGCGACCAACCCAATTGGCCGCCACAGTGATAGACGTACGTTTGGTTTGGCACAAGATTCAATAACGAGACCTATTTTGTTCACAATTTGAAAGCGGAAAGCGACAAAAATATATGGTTCATCAAATGCAAACAAATTATACACAAGACAACAAAAACAATGCAATGTAAAGCAGCTGAGTAAGTGACGCTAAACGCGCTCATGCGCGCAAGGTCACACAAAGTGAACCAACTGCAGCGCTTACACTACGCTCATCTACTTTGATAGCAAATGTTTGGAACAGCAAATAGCAAAAATGTTAGTAGTAACTTTACCCTGTGTATGTATTGTGACTTTTTCTTATCCCCACCATCCACAAATTGCTGGGATGTGCCATTGGCGCGTTGCGTAAAGCCAATGAAACCGTATTCGACAATGGATTCGATGGCATCGTCGCGTGTGGACCAAGTTACCACAACATCATTAGACTTTTCTGTAAATACAGTAGTGCAAACAGAGAAGGCATGATTGCTTGTGCAACAATGAAATTGGAAAATATTGATTGTGTTAATAAAAATTTACGAATTTCTATAATTCAAAACATACATTTCTTTTAATTATCATTTACTTGCATTTTATTGAATAAAGTAAACGGGTAACGTTAGCTTTTTACATGCATATTGCATTTGTTATATTATATTGCATTGTTCCTTTTAAATGTTGGTCATTGCTATTGTTTTCTTATCTATTTTTGCACTCAAATAGTAAATAGAGGCCCGCCATATGGCATACGCCCGCTTATCAGCCACATAGCGTAAGCAATAACATACGCTTCAAATTGCGAATTTGCGTCAAGTGTAAGTAATCTTTGAAAAAATTGGGTTACAAACATCATTTCATATTCCTGATGTGAATGATGTGTATAATATTTCTTTATGAGTAATATAATGATTTCATTTTGCTGAATTGCAAAGTTTTCAAAAAAGTAAATGCACTATTTTTAAATTCAGATTTTCCTTATGATCACCTAGTGATAAGACTGATGATGATGATCAACATACATTATCGTATATAACTTAAAAGATACACTCGGCGCATCTTGTCCTGTAACTGTTGAAATTGCTTCACTTATGATGCTTTGTTAAAGAAACAAAAAATTACTACAATTACTATAATTACACAGAAAATTGCTTATGAAAAATACCAACACATCAAAATAAAAGCACCGCAAAATAGTACACTGTGTTTATCTCTTCTAAACAATACAAAAAATCGCGTGAATAAACTCGCTTAAAATTGTTATCACAGGTGGAAAGTTAAATAAATGCAACGGAATAATTGAAAAGGTGAATACCTAGCTTAATTAAACAAAAATTATTTTATATAACAGTATTTTTACATATGTATGTGAAACACTTGTAAATAATGAGTCATTACTGCAATTTTCCATAATTAATTTACCTTATATATACATATTTAAATTATTATTAAAATCCCAACTTATTAAGAATATCCCAGAAAAATATGACATACATACATACATATGTATGTACACATATATGTACAATACAATATATTTATTTCCACATTATTTTACCTTTATCCTAACATAATTGTTATGTTTACACTTACCACCAAAGGCCAAATGCACTTGTTCCGGCTGATAGTGGTATACTTTGCCCACATTATCTGAAATCGCATTTTTCTTCTCCAGCTTTTGCGCAATAGCACTCGCTAGTAAAGCGAATAAGACGTATGGAAACGAATGCATTGCGTTCTATAATTTAGGATAGCAGTGCAGAAAGTTAATTTGTTTGCGCACTATATATTATATATTCTGAATAAAATTTCGCTAACAAAAATTCCACAGAAAGCACAACTAAACTATTTCAAATCCAATAGCGAAATCAAATCACATAAACATACGAGAACAAATGACAGTCATAATAAAAGTCAACTGTCACGCAATGTTGTACTTTTATTTGTTTCAATGTTACGTTACTTAAGTACCTTAAGCAAACGTAATAAATTGCAAACATATATAAATGCAGTTACATTTATTTATACATATACACATTAATAAACATATGTTTAAATCAATTGATATTTGATTTTAGATAAATTTTCGATGTAGACGCTCCAAAGACTCAATAATACCAGTATTATGCTTTGCTGAGGTCTCCAACAGTTCCCATTCATATTTTAATCCTACTAATTTTAGACCATCTACTATTTCTGCTGCACTTAATTTGTCATCCATATCCTGCTTATTCGCCAAAACCAATAGGAACAATTCTTCTGGTATAATAGCCTTTTGAAGTGTTTCGTGCAGCTCTTTTGACGCCAGTTCTAACCGCTTTTTTCCAGCTGCTGCGTCCACTACGAATATTATACCATTCGTATTTTCAGTTAGAAAGTGCTTCCATAATGGCCTTAATCTACATTGACCTCCAAGATCCCACAAAAAGAAGCTCAAACCCTTATATCTTACTTCTTCTACATTAAAACCGATTGTTGGTTGAGATAAAGTAAAATTTCTACCTAATAAGCTGTTGAAAATTGCAGTTTTTCCAGCGTCATTTAATCCCAATAGATAAATTTGAGTTGGGTGTTCCATTTTCGGCAAATTTGATGTTGACACCATTGTTAAAATATATAATAAATTGAACAAACACAGGATTTTGCTTTTACTTAGCATTTTTCGAGTCTAAATGCATAAATCATAATATACTTATACTTAAAGAAATCAGTATCGGCGTCCAAGTCATGAAAGTCATGTGCAGTGGAATTTTATATAGCGTATAGATAGGTTGTTATATTTTATGGCAAACTTGTCACTTTTGACATTAGTCTGCTAAGTTAACAGAGCGTTAATTTTACGGATTGTAAAATATTTTATAGCGTATAATTGAAATAAGCTTGGTATGAATAATAACAATAACATTAATGGAAGCACTCGAAATCAAGTAATAGCTTTTATATGTATGAAAACTAATATAATATAATAATGAAATCAATGGCAACGGACTTAAAATGTATCAATTAGAAAACCAGTGGTTTCCAAAATTCCTGTCAAAACTTTTGTTTTGGTTTTTAGGGAAAACAATAGAATAGCTTCCCAGAATTGCTTTTTTGATTTTATTTATAAATAACTCTTCATTGATTTTGATATTATTTATACGCGACTATATATTTTAAACATGAGCAGCAATACCAGCAGCGTGCGGGCATTACCACAATCGAAGGAAGCACTATTGAAATCATATAACACACGTCTTAAGGAGGATGTACGTAGCATGCTGGAGAATTTCGAAGGTAAAACGGATGTGAAACTCAAATTTGCACACAATTAAAACAGTTTATTTGATAATGTTGCACTAAGTCTCTTGCCCCGGTTATGCGTAAGCATTTGCTGTAATTGTTGTAGGCCGTCGCTTAATCCCATACCATTGATGGCGCAACACTCTTGAATGGCCCACTGTTGTGTTAATGTCTGCAACTGCAGTATTGTGACCAACTGTTCAGCTCCCAGTGCGCCCGGCAAATCTTGTTTATTAGCATATAAAAGGTAGACAGCTTCGGTCAGTTCGGGGCGACACCACAACCAACGTAGCTCATCCATAGCTCGTGGCAAGCGACGCATATCCGTTGCGTCAATCACAAAGATAATTGCACGCGTATTATGATTATAATGTTGCCACAATGTACGTGTACGTGGTCGATCGCCACTAACGTCCCAAATATTTAACAACATTTTACCACAACGCACATTTTCCACATTGAAGCCAACGGTAGGCACCGGCTCAACGTTCCGTTCCAATTTCAATTGATATAGAATGGTTGTTTTGCCAGCATTATCCAATCCTAGCATACCAACACGCAATTCCGGTTCAGTTTTTGGAAGCCAACGTGCAAATAAATGCGTTAAACGACCACCCATTTGATGGTTATTGCAGAGAAGTCCGGCGTTGAATAATTATGCCAGCAAACTGTGCAATGACTTGTGAATGCGAAACAAGTGTTATTTTAAACAACTGTGTTTAGGTTGATACATTACACCAATAAACAGCTGTTGCAAAAGCCATATATATGTATACTGTAGTATATGGTAAGATGGAATGTTATTGATATATTACTGTAATGGAGCTTATACTCGTTACAACTTCATCAATTTTACATTGATAAAACTGCCAATTTTTTTTTTTTCTTTCAGAGATCATCAAATTAGCACGCGGAGAAGGCGATTCTCAAATTTCTAAAACGACACAATGTGAGCAAGACACTTATGAAATGCAAGTGCGCGCTGCAAATATCGGTAAGCACGAAACCATATTACCATAATTAAGTAACAGTACACAAAACTAAAAATTAATTAACACGATAATTTAAATAATTTTTGTTATAATTACTACTTTCTTGCTTTCAGTACGCGCCGGAGAGTCACTCATGAAACTTGTATCAGATATTAAACAGTATTTAATATTAAACGATTTTCACTCCGTCAACGAGGCGATTACCAACAACTCACAATTATTCCGTTCGAAACAAATGGAATGCGATAAGAAACTTATGAAATTGCGCGATGAAATGGCTATGGATTTGTATGATCTCGAAGAGGAATATTATACTAGCATATTTAAATGAAAATAAAATAATATTTAAGTGCATAATAAAAATTTTTATTAATTAACATACAAAAATATTAAATGGAAAAATATCAACAATATTAACTACCCAACTATGACTCGTCATTGCTTTCATCGTCCACATATTCGAAATTTTGTTTGCGTATGCAGTAATGTGCTGGTGTGTCTTTGTTGGGGCTAATCTTTTCTGGTGGCAATGGTTTGCCGGAATCAGCCGGACGCAATCTGCTGTATACAATTATTTTTTTATATTTGGTTATTATGTGCTTTTCTATATTAACTTCGTTTTCACCTTTTTTTCGGAAAACGTGCCCCGCCAGGTACACTGCAAAATCCACGCAAATATTCGGGTAGACTTGGAGGTTCCATAGTGCCATATGTTATACCGAATATGTGCGCTGGATATATAGCAGAAGCGAGCACTTTTAAATTGAAGGGACTCGGCAAAGGCGAATAATGTATTTCGAAATAGTTATTCGATTTATCTTTTTTGCGTTTATCCATAGTTAACTTAACAGTAACTAATACTTCGGAATTATGACAGCTGTAATTAAGGAGAATTACTTAATAATCTTTTTTGAATTACAACAAATATACTGTTTAGCGCACTCCTCCTTATTTGGCGCATGCTCAACGAATATGCGTGCCATTTCAGGGTCCATCTGGAAGTGCTCCAGGCACAAAAAATGTCCATTGTAATTAAGGAAAGCGTCATTGAGATGAACTAAACCACGCAGCTGGTTTCCCAACTCAGCTACAAATTCTTCGCTACCAAAAGGCTCCACCAGCAGTTGTATTTTGATAAGTACTTTGCTTTTACTAAAAAATACTAATACACATTTTAAATTTTAAGTATAGCTGGGATTAAATCGATAGATATATTTACTGTAGCAATCGGTCCAATTCATCTATGATGTCATTCAACTCATTGGGGTTACATGGGATTAGTGCACGCTTTAAGTCCATGTATAATTTGTCAACACCAGTGCCTATACACGACACGAACACATCGTTCAGTAAAATTTGGCGTAAAAAAACACATGCGCCAGCATACAAGTGTGTAATTTTTCCCTCTACAAAGGCATGGCATATAAACTGATATTGTTATAAATCACAAAATAAAGCAGTGTTTCATCAAATAAAAACCTTTCTGTATGAGCACCATCATATTGCGCGTTGCTGAAGCCTCTTCAAACACAAAAGCTTTAACGCGCTTTTCATCACTTAGATGCAGGATATGTGGATTTTTTGTAGGATCCAAGTAGACGAAGTTATCGTCTGTTAGTATCTACATGATTAATAATTATACAAAGGTTCAGAAAATACGCGAAAATGTGATAAATCTGTGCAGACCTCCTCTTTATTTGTGTTGAAATGGATCTTCATTCGCCAAGCAATCGCTTTGCTTGTATAAATTTTAGGCACTCTTTTCGGCAGTAACAGTTGATTTAAACCATAGAGACGTGTAATAAACACTTTCTGTGTAGGCTTTAAGTAAATGCATTATTAAATTGGAATTGTATATGTATTACATACATATAAAAGTACTAGTACTCACGTTATAGATTTTTGGCATATCATCAAATAGAAAGTCCTCGCCAAATTCAAGAAATTTCATATTTATGGAATTGTATATAATCTATTTAACTCATTTAAATAAAACAACTAGACAATAAACGATTTGCAATTGCCCGCCTAGATCAGACCAGAGAACGTAAAACATGTTGCAGCTGTTTTGGAAATACGTTCTCTGTCATAACTCAAACAGTTTGAAAAACAGTGTACGCATATAACTTAGAATAAATAAATTGTATTTTAATTCACTTTATTTATTTATATACCGCACGCTTCAAAGAAATATTAGTAATAAATAAATACTATCGCTTTTAAATATAGGCTAAATAATATTTTTGTTTTCATTGTAATGACAAGTCATTGCGAGTGCTTCAATTGTAAGAAGAAGAATCCTCCTAATGGCACTCGTTAATCTCAGCTGGTTGGTGTTTTTATATTGAATCGTTTAATAAATAAATTGTCTTGAATAAAAGTTTATTGTTAATAAAGTAAAAATAATAAATTGTTGTAGATTGTTATTCTACCATTAACAATTACGAAATCAATAATGAACTTCCTGCGGAAAACCATCAGTGTTACGAAACAGTTGTCACAAAAAGGTTTGTGGATAACACATGGGCTTTTTGTTGCAAAATATTAGTTTTAATCATATTAATTAAACACGAATTCTGCTTTTTCTTTAGTGCTCACTGGCAACATATTGCAGTCTATCCAAAGTGGCTGCCTATTCGAGCCGACCTATCGTATGGCGTCCTTAAACCAAATGCACCGAACTGGTCCACATTATAAAACGCGTCCGCCACGACAACCACTTGATGGCAAACCTTTCGCGAAAGGTGTTGTCCTTAAGACACTCATCAAAAAACCAAAGAAACCTAATTCCGCTAATCGGAAATGCGTGCTCGTGCGCTTATCTACCGGTAAAGAAATGCTCGCTTATATACCCGGTGAGGGACACAACTTACAAGAGCATAACATTGTGTTATGCCGTGTAGGCCGGTGTCAAGATGTGCCTGGCGTGAAATTGAAATGCGTACGCGGCGTATATGATTTGGCGCACGTTATCAAAAAGTGAAGAAAAGTGGTGGAACCTATTTTCTTTACTTTCCTTTTAAATGTTACGATATTTATATGAAATGATAAAATATCCTTTGACAAAATAAACATGGTCACACTTCTTGTAAAAATATGTATATAAACGTATATTTTATGTATCTTCAACCCTTTTGTCTACCAATATATGCTCAATGGATGAGTTAGCGTTTTTCGCGTATCACTATTTTCCTTTTATTGTTTACCTATTTTCCTTAGGCGGCTGCTTTTTTCGTAGGGGTAAATCACTATTTACGTATGGCGTGCGTTGATTTTAATTTTCGAGGGATTTATTTACCGCGCGTGCCAAGCATGCGATCCAGTTGATGGGGATGGAGGATTGAGCGGCAATTAAAACGATGATGGGGCATATTTTTGAATTGGACTCTAAATAAAATAATTATAGTGCTAACGAAGCGAAAAAAGCATATTGTGTTCAATAAATGCTGAATGCCATGAACTTAGGACACAGCATCCTTCGGAATGTATGAAAATTCAAGAATTTTATGTTAGTCACAACGACCATGTTAACTTAAAACTATATTTTATCAACAAAATCATCATAAACTTATGTTTACTAGCTCCTACAAATTTCGGGCACACCTGCAATAAATTATCACCTTTTCAATTATTATCATTTCAATATGAATCGCTGGCGATATTCGTTGTGACCATTTAATGTCTAACGTTAATCCATACTTTTCCTGCAACCACAACGTACATACGTATACATTTACGCATTATGTATTTTTTGTACGGTTGGAGATTATTGACCATTGGTTACCGTACTGACGTTCAGTACTGTTTCGCATTGTTTGTCTGACCTTTTGTGCACAAATGTTGCAATGACAAGCGGAAAAAGGGCCAACTGATTAAAATCTTTTGTGGGTAGGTGTGTAGTATTATATATATGTACAAATTTATATTGTAAAGGAATATATGCGTACTTACATACAATATTATAGATTTATATGTGGCTGACGGCTAGAGATGCAACTGCTTCATAAATTGCAAATTTTGGAAAGTGGACACTGCAAATTGATTCCAAAACACTAGAACACACTTCTACTTTTTAGCACATTTAGCAATAACTACAACTAATGTTAATTGAAACACAAGAAACATATATTTCCGTTTTTGATATCCGCTTAATTGCTTTGCACTGTTTCCGCTGCTTAACTGAATATTCTACAATTTTGGTTACGGATGTGCGATAACCGATTGTTCTTGTCTTTTGTCGATTAGTAATTAACAAGACTAATGTTACAGAAATTATATATTATGTGCTAGTATCATTTCTATTACTTTTATTATATATGTATGTGTATATTAATTAGTTGACGCTATATAGTCACCTACGTACATACATATGTACAGCTTGCTCTTCTGAGAATACAAAGATCGATCAGTTTTGCGATTAAATCTGTACAAAATCAATTCTACTGTAATATTTGTAGGCACGAATTCGTCAAAATAGTGACATATGGCGGATTACTTACATATATATTTTTGTCAATATTCTATATATAAAAAATAGTAATAGTTTCGGCATGTTGCTCACACAATTTACCACCTGCCGTTTTAGGGTGTTTTTTTGACGCATTTGTGCATACCACAAGAAATTGTAACCCGTTGTTGGCCACGCGTATGCCACAGGTCTTTTTTCATTGAAACCAAACAAGAAATTTGTATTTTTCGACGTTACACTTTTGCACGTAAGTACTTATTCGATTAAGAGTTTGATTATGAAATCCTAAACTTTTGTTTTACTTTTCCAATTTGTGTTAAAAATAATCCTATTTATTGCAATTATTATGAAATAACATATGCACTTGTTAATTTTATAACGTATTCTTTGGTACCCAATTTGAATAACGTTTAAAACATCAATTATCGATATACACCACATCACTAATGCCGAGTGACCGGAACTAGTTTTCGTTCGTTGAAATGTGCTTTCAAGTGTTCGTCGTGTAGCACAATTTAATAATTGAATTTCGGGTGTTTAAACAACAGTTTATGTGAAATAGTTTAAAAAAGTGTAGAGTTTAGTAATTTATGCAACTTTTGTTGCTATTTGCGGTAATGTAAATGAATGTAGTGTCGTGTAATGTGATAGTGAAAATCTCGTGCTAGTGGGTGGTGGTGAGGTGTGTTTCAAATGTGAAAAGTGTTATATAAAGTGCATATATAGTTATAAAATAGTGCTTTCTTCAAAAAGTGGCCTCATTGCATTTGCAAATGCATGAAATAATCATCAAAAATCTTTAATTAATAAAATACGAAGCGTATAAAAAGATGCTTGCATTTTGGCAAGCTAAATGTGTTCGCAAAATGGCGGTGCTCGTGTATTTGCAAGCAAACGGTTACAGCAGCAACAATCACGGAAAGTTTCAAAGCCACTTAACGTAAGTATGCAAATTGGCAATATGGCTGCAAAATTTAGCAATTTCACAAGCAACGTATTAATTTACCATGTTTATTATTTAAAGCTCTAATATTGATGCATGCATTTATCAATTGCTTTTGAAATGTGATAATTTCACAAGCAATGTATTTATTTATATTAAAGCTTGAAAATAGATATATGTATATGTATAAGTGCAAAGGTTTATAAATAACAATAAAAAATAAGAAAATAAAAATAATAATAAATAATAGAAAATAATATCAATTAAAATAACAATGAAACTTAATACTACTATTGTAATTTTTAAATTTTTATTTAGCAATACATTTATTAAGCTTCTACTTTTACTAATAAGGCGTAATTATGTATGCGGAAAATTCTACGTTTGAAATATACATATCCGGTTTACAGAATTTACTTACAAGTTGCAAAATATTTAGACAAAATAGATACACATTTGTCATATCAAAGGCAAATCTTTACGCCACAATAAATAAGGTATCATCTGCACAACGTCTCGACTTCTTTATGGAGTTATAACTTGTTGTCGTACACATTGTACATTTTGCCTTCATTATGGTATTATTTACAGTCATTATTTTGTGGCCTTTTTTTCTTTGCTCGATACTCTCTCTTTATGCTTGCCGCACAATTTGCGGATTACCGCATTCATAGATTTGGTTTGAGAGCAATGTTTCAACGTTTGCAGACAAATGTGTATTGTTAGGCAGTCATGCGCAACAGTAAGGAAATTATTTCTTGGCTCAAGACAATTTTTTGCTTTGAAATTCGTACTTTTTGTTTTGCTGTGTTTTGTTTTGGAAGCATCACTTGACCTAACCGAGGATTTGAAGTTATAAACCACAAAGTGGTTAATTGGCATTTCGTCGGCTTTAAGCTACAAAATACTTGCTAATGAGGTACGGAGTTATGAATGGACATACATATATGGTAGATGAGTGGTGTACAGGATGTACTTATACAAATGTAAGAAAATGTTTCCGGTGTTTGAAAAGAAGAGATTTAAAAATTGTATATTTAAGTAATATTTTAAGACAGAAGACGTTGATTTTTAAAAGAATATTATTATTTGCATTAGATATAGACTATGCAAAGAAAAATTAGGACTTTGGTTATATCGAAGCTATAATACCCTTCACAAATAAAAAAGTTTCCATACCAATACTAGATTTTGATTACTTAGTTTGTATGGCAACTACATATATGCTATAGTAGTCCGAACTCGGCGGTTTCGACATTTATTTAGCGTGTATAGCAAAAACTGTAGAACTAGTGGGCGTATATACAGATGCTGGTCATTTATATATGTATATACAGATGCTGGTCATTTAGTATATGGTCACCACTGTGGTTCGTCATTCATGGTATTCAGCCACAAACATTTCTCCCACCCTCGAAACTAGCCGAAGGGTATATCTGGCAGTATGTATACATGTTTAATTACAAAGCTGGCCAGAACCGCACTCTACACTTAATAAATTAGTGAACCCATGCACAGTTGACCTTATGTTCAAACCTACAAGGGTAGGAAAATTTAAGCCGCTTGGAATGTAAACTAAAGTAATGACAAAATCAATATATAATACTTGCA